CACAAGCGCGGGCCGGAGCCGGGGAGGGCGGCGGGGCACGTTCCCCGCTTTCTGCGACCCCTGAGCAGCTAGGGCGAAGGTGAGACTGAGAGGGGCCGAAACCATGAACCGGAGTTTTCGTAAGTCTCAGACCCTGCGCTTCTACGACTGCGGCGCTGTGGAAGTCAAGAGCAAGGTAAGCCCCCCGAGGCCTGCCCTGGCGGCCCGGCGGGCCGGAGCCGGGGAGGGCGGCGGGGCACGTTCCCCGCTTTCTGCGACCCCTGAGCAGCTAGGGCGAAGGTGAGACTGAGAGGGGCCGAAACCATGAACCGGAGTTTTCGTAAGTCTCAGACCCTGCGCTTCTACGACTGCGGCGCTGTGGAAGTCAAGAGCAAGGTAAGCCCCCCGAGGCCTGCCCTGGCGGCCCGCACCTCCTCCCCTGGCAAATGAATTGGGTGCCCGGCGGGTAACTGGAGTGCCATGGGAGGCACCCGGCGCCGGCGACAACTTTCGAGGTCCGGCGGTGCGCGCTGCTGTGCTGGGTCGGTGAGATGTGCACTCGGGGCCCCAGCCCTTCTTCCCGCCCCTTGCACGGACACAAAGCCCAGCAGACAGAGGAGGTCCTGTCGGGCCGTGGGCTATCAGATAGTCGGTGCGGGCTCGGAACTCGCTCTCCGAGAGCTGCTCTTTTGTTCCACGAGCGACCGGCGACCCGGGCGTGGAGGGGAGGGCGGCGTTTCCGGGGCGAACTAGGGACTGGGGGCTGCTCGAATTCCGGGCCATGGAGGGGGTTCTAGGGCCCCGGGCTGGAGGAGGGCCTTAGCTGCGCCACCTCCTAGGTTATGAAGACTTCTCACCCGTAAGAAGGCTGGCGGTCGGCTCTCGGAGCAAGGCCCTGGACCACCCCTAACCCCCAACCCGCCTCGAGGTACTATATCTGAGGTCCGGGGCTCGCCCCTATCCCAGACCTGGCCTACTCCAGCCCCCACCCACAACCGCGCTCCCTACTCAGACACCTCTCCGGTGTGCACCCCCAGTTCAGACCCTCAGGCCTTGGCGCGCCTCCGGCCCAGGCACCCTCCCCTGCGGGGTGCACCCCCGACCCAGACTGAGACTCGGTGCGAGGCACACCCGGAGCCAGACCCAGACCCCATAGACATGCCGGTCTCCTCCTGCTGCCTTCGCCCAGCCGTGCGTGCCTGAACTTGCGGGTCGCCATGCGTGTCTGGGTAATTGGCTGATAGGATCTGGCGCTTCTGCCCTCTGCGGAGGCGGCTCCTTTTCTGAAGCTTTTGTTTGGGAGGGCCAAGGAGGTGGGCTCTTTGAGGCCTGAAGTAGCTGCTGTGGGTCGAAGTGCGGGGCAGGGGATGGGGGCGGGGGTGGTGGTGGAAGAGGTTGGTCTTTGGGAGCCTTTTGCTGACTACTAACTGGACGCCTAGTGGCCTCCACACCCTCTCTGGCTTCCTAAAGCAAGGGGGAGCGCTTGCCAGAGGGATGGAAAAGGGATCAGGCTTTGCCCCCAGCTCTGCACTCACCTAGGGAGCAGGTCCTCTCAGTCAGTGAGGAGGCAAGTCTCAAACTGGGCTACTGCAAAGCCTACAAAAGTGTAGGATTTCCCGGGTTTCCACAGGAAGGAGGGTGTCTGAGCAATGCCCAGGGTGACAGGGAGAGACCACTGCTTTTGCAGGTTTTCTTTCCTATTTTGGGAGGACACAGGCTTTTTCAGAATCCCTTATTTCTAGTAAAATCTTGCGCTACCCCACTTCCATCCCTTCTGCCCTCAAGTCCCCAAATCCAGTGCACCAGCTATGGGGTTGTGAAGGGATGAACCACAAGCATAAATGAGAGGTTGAAGTAATTGTTTGGCTTCTTTAGCTCCATACAGAGACCACTAAATAAGGTGGTGTTTAAATTTTGTTTAACTTTTGTTTTGAGATAATTGCCGATTCATAAGCAGAGAATACAGACATCTGAGGACACTTTGTCCAGCCTGCCACGTGGTGACGTGTGTGACTAGTACCATGTCACATTTGTAGGACCCTGACTCTGGATTTCACGTGGATGTTGTGCACTCACTTGAGTGTGTGTGTGTGTGTCTATCCAATTGTGGGATTACCAGCACAGTCAAGGTACAGAGCCATATATAGCAAAGATTCTCTCTACTGCCTTCTTATAATGTCTGCTTCATTTTCAGTGTGAGTTGTCTAGTATTGAATACTCTGCTCTGGTGCTTAGTAGTCATGTGGCAGCCGTGTGCCTTATCAAACACACAGCAAGGCCTTGGGACAGATCTAGAGGAAATGCTCTAGCACCCAGACCTTGTCTGGTAGGCATTTTGAGCCCGTGGCTCTGTATAGGCTGCTGGGGTGGTGGGGAGCTGGGAAGTAGGGATCTGCCTTTGCCCTTCCCAAGGGTGTTAACCCACCAGGCTCCTCCAGCTCCTGCCACCCTCTGCCTTACATGAAGTCAAGATTAGATGCTCCCCAAAAGATGAATGGCAGTCAGAGTTTTGGTTGAACTTGGAATTCTTGGAAGGGCCACATGGACCTGGGTCCTTCAGGACCAGCTGTCAGGCACCCTCCACCCTTGCTCTTATAATAGAACCTAACTTACTGGTCGTCCAGAGGGTCCCCATGGCTCTTCCTTCAGTACACACCCTTCCAAACCTCCTTTTTATAGTTAATATGTGTTACTTTGGAGTCTATCTCTGCTGGGAGTGTCTCCTGTCGCACAAAATACATGAGGCAGAACTTCTTGACAGTGAGCACTTCATACAACCTAAACATAGCGCCACAGCACTAGTAGTTTGCTTCTGGGAAAATGACAGCCAGAGAGCTGAGTGCCACCTACTACTTTGGGGAGTGTTGCCCAGTCTCAACTCATCTGTAAGATGGGAATTGTATCTGATCTGCTTACCTACAAAGATGAAATGTGGCAACAAATGTGGGAGCACATTGACAATCACAGAGTGCCCATGATCTTAAGAGTTCAGTGGGGGGGGGCGCAGGATCCTGTGGTGTTTGAAGATACATGGTCTGAAAACTGCCTCAGGTCCTCTCAGAATTATTGTCATTTGCTATAGCTGGTCAGTTCCTGGGCAACACTGAGGAGAAGGGCTTTTTGCCTGGTGCCTTTCCCCTTTGGCCCCTCATACTTTACTGAACTTCTTAATTCCTGTGACTCATCAGCTCTTCCCCAAAACAACAGTATATGCTGCTTTTCTTTTTCTTTTCTTTTTTTTTTCCAGTACTAGGGATTGAACTCGGGACCTTGCACTTGGGAGGCAGGCATGGTGACACTGAGCTAAATCCCTGGAGAAGGATGCACTTCTGATTACCTTGTTCCAGCTGATTTTCCCACTTAACTTTGCCTTTGCTTGACCTGTAAGTCCTACAGACATGAGAGCAGAGGCTGTGCTACTGATTAGAGGAAGGTGTTTCAGGCTAAGAGAAGAATGACAACTGCTTAGGGCTTCTTGATGGGTAGCAGGAAGGCTGGTTCAGGGATGAGGAGGGATCTGAAGAAGATAGAGTGATAGGTGAGTTTTCATTTGAGAAGATACGAATCATGACCATTATGAACTCAATCTTTCACTCTGTCATCAGTCCCACCATCCCGTTTATGCTTAAAAACCTAAAGGAATGTGGATCATCCTGTCTGAGAAAGGTCTCAACCCCACAGCAAAATGAGTTATGGCTTCCCATGCCTCGTGGTCTCAGTTCCTACCTTGTTCTTCAACATCAGTCTTGTACTTGAACATCATCCAGTTCTGACATTGCCTACTACTGGGCCAAGCTTCCTCTGTCTGACTCCTTCTCTGTTCATCTTAGGGCACCTGTCATGATCTTGTGCCAGAGTCCTGTATTCAGGAGAGGATCAAGGTCCCTGCTGACACCACACCACACTCCATGGTGTCAGGGAGAATAACACCAAAGGTTTTAGTCCTTCTCAGAACTTCTTGTTTAAAGAATATTGGCGCATAAAGAGGGGTATGGAGCATTGGTAATCCTCCTGTCCCAAGGTGAGTCACTGTTAAATGCTGCCTTGTAGCCTTCTGATCTGTTATGTGCCTGTATGCATATATCACATTATTATTTATAAAATTAGAATCATGTAAGCACATTTTTTTGCAACTGGTTTCCCACTTCCAATTTGGCACTATGTTGCACATGTTTCTTCAGGTCATTAATAGTCTTAAAAAGACATTTTTAAAAATATACAGTATTCTTTCTCATATCTAAGCCATAATTAAACCAATATCTTATTTGGATTCCTTACAGTTTTTCCAATAATTAAACAGTCCTGTGAATAAGATCTTATTTAAGTTTTCACACACAAATTTATATAATGTGTACACATAAAAGGTATATGAAGATTCTTGGTTCTGTTAAATCTGTGCAGAACTCTTATTGCTTGTTTAGGACAAATTAGTAGAAGTAACATTACATGGGAAATAGGCATGAACTATTTTTTGATGCTAGGAATCAGACCAAGGGCCTCTTGCAATCTAGGCATATGGTTCATCTTTGAGCTGCATCTCCAGTGCAGTGTGCACATTTTTAAGAGTTAAATACATATTGTTAAATATTCTTCCAGGCAGTCTCTTCTACCAGTTGACATGTGCTGTTTTATATCTGTTCATCATCATCTGTCTCTCTCTCATCCCCCTCTTCTTCCCTCCTTCCACCACTGGGCATTTTCTCATTCCTTCCTGATTATGTAAGTGAAATGACATTCTTTTGTGTTAATCGGTATTTCCTGAGTTATTAGTGAATTGAAATTTTTAATTTGTGTATCTCACTGCCTGACCACAGGAAGTTTCCCATCAGGTCAGGTAGTACTGAGAAGCACTTGTTTTCAGTGTGGAATAGAGCTGGTGTTCTTTCCCTGGTATGGCCTCGCCCCAGATATTAACCCAGACACTCTGGGATGTTGAGTGTACGAGGAGCATCTTGTACCCTGCTTATCATGTACTGCGTGGCCAGATTCTGCTGGGGATTGCTGGGCACAAAGTGTTTGATGTCAAGCATGTCTTCTCTGGTCCCCAAGATCTTATCACTGGCTGAGCTTGTTGTTAGCTGCTGTGGTATTGCAGGGACTTGCCCTTCCACCTAGTATGAGACAGAAGTGGGATGGACCCTACTCCAGGCCTCCCTGTCAGGTAGCTGGGGAGACTTACTTCTCATGGGCCAGTTGAGAATTGCCTGGACATGGTTTGACTCACTTGTGTGTCAGCTACACCCTTTTAAGATTCTGGTTTGTTGTATTTGTGCACGCATGTGTTTAAACAGGTTCGGGGACTTGATTTGAGAAGCTGCATCTGGAGGAGACTATTGTCAGGGATACATCTAGGGTGTTACTCTAGGGAGCATGGATGGAGTCACTGTCCCCAGATG